TCAATATAATATATAATATGAAATAGAAAATGACGTTAAGAAACTAGAAGTAGAATCGATTTATCGATTTTTATCATCGATGTTTGCAAATCGATATATTAAAATCATCTATTTTTTTATTCAATTAATTTATCATTATAAAGATATTTTGTGATTATGTTTATTTTTTTTTTTATTTTTTTATATTCTTTTGTTTTATTAAAAAATATATATATAATTTTTTTTTAATAATATTTTTTTTTTATTCACATCTCATTTATCTCTTTATTTTAGATTTAAAAAAAATAAAACATTTTTGCTAATTTATAAGTTAATTTATAAGTTAGTAAAATATATTGTTTTAAATATTATTTTTCAAAATCAAATTAATAAACTAATTTAATAAAAGAATTATTTATTCGCAACAATTTTAAATTTTGTAAATTATTTAAAATTACGCATAAAAATTCACAAGTTAATCCATTTATTATATGAAATAGAATATGAACAGAATATGAATGAAATAAGTGTTTTCGCTCAAAAACATTTCATAAAGAATAAAGAATAAGAATTGAACAACATAATGATATATATTTTGCTTAAAATAAATTTTTCAGACATTTATAATTTCTTCTTCTATTCTAACTACTCTAAATTTATTTAATCGACATAAGTTACAGAAGACATAACATCTGATTCTTTGTACTATCGGTATTTCAGAACATGAGACATAAAATCTTAGGATGATAAATCTATTCTATATCTTGTTTATGGTTATATAGCCCGTCTTAAATTAAACAATATTAATAAAAGGAACACTTTGAAAATGAGTGAAAGTGAAAATTTTATTAAAAAAGGCACTACTCTTTTTACTGCTAAACCATTTGCTTATGTTCTTTATTCAAAATATAGAAATGAACGATGTGATTATTGTTTTAAAAGGTATATTCTTAACATTTTTAAAAAATTTTAATTTACATAATACTTTTATTTCTTTTATTATTCATTTATTAATATTATTATATTATAATAATATAAATTATTTTATTTAAAAATAATACATAAAATTATTTTTTTCAGTGGAAAACTTTTTAGATGTTCTGTTTGTAAGTGTATTTATTACTGTAATCAATCTTGTCAACAAATGTCTTGGACTATACATAGTAAAGAATGTGCAAGCTTAAAAAGATTTTCATCAAAAGTTATACCAGATGTTGCAAGACTAATGGCACGTATAATTATAAAATTAAATCAAGGTGGAGGTGAAGAAATAGGATATTATAGTAAAACTAAATATAGGAAATTTAAGGACTTAATGTCTCGTAAGCTTTTCATGTAAGAGAACACATAAAATATATATAAAATTCTATTTAATTAATATTTAAATTATTATTTTGTTAGATTATTCTGATATAAAAAAAGATGAAAAAAAAATGGAACATTTTGTATGTGTATGTGGTGTTTTATATGAATTTCTTGGAGATATGTCTATACCAAATTCTGCAGAATTAATGGGTATTTATGGCAGAATTTATATTAATTCTTTTAATATATCTGATTTGGATATGAATAATATTGGTGCTGGTATTTATTTGGGACCTTCTATTTTGGACCATAGTTGCAAACCTAATGCTGTAGCAACCTTTGAGGGGACAACTATAATTATTAGAACAACAGAAGATCTTCCTTATTTAGATTTATCTCAGGCAAGTCTTTTAAATATTTTTGTTTTTATAATATTGTAATGAAATTTCTGTTAACAACAGAGAATCATTTAAAGTATAATACAATTATAACTGAACATATATAGATAAGAATATCATACATTGATGTAATTAAAACAACAAAAGACAGACGTGAAGAACTACAAAGTTCATATTATTTTTGGTGTAAGTGTAAAAAATGTGAAGAATCAGAACCAATGGTGGAAGCAGCAGCATGTCCAAATAAATTTTGTACATATCCTTGTTCTCTTGATGCTGATATGTGTGAAAATTGTAATACAAAATTTCCTGAAAATTTTAAGGAGACTTTTTATGAAATATCTGACTTGACTGCATATCATTTACAAAACATGAAAAATATTGCCTGTATCCTTTTTATAAATAATATTAATTAGATTGTTTAATATAATATATAATATAAAATATATATTTTCTTACAATAAAAAATAGATTTGGATGTAAGCACAATGTGTCTCAAAAAACAAGAAGGTGTTTTACATCCCCTCAATATACAGCATGTACAAACTTTACAAAGTGCTTTTGACTCCTCTCTAACTTTGCAACATTGGGAGGAAGCTGAATCTTATGCTATGAGACTTATTAATGGCTATTTGTAAGACAATATTCTTTATATATATTAAGTTTTTAATTATAAAAGTTTATAAAAATTTTTAATTATATATATAAATTTTTAATAATATTAATTACTTTATATATGTTAAGTTAAAAAATAATTCATAATAACTTACTTTTATTCATATTAGGACATATTATGGAGAATTTCATCCATCAACTGGAATATTATATTTATCAATAGGAAAACTTCAGGTATATTTAAAAAAACTAAAACAAGCTATTGAAACATTAAGAAAAGCTAGTGCAATATTAACAATAACACATGGAGAACAACATACTGTAATTGAACATAATTTGAAACCACTTCTTTATCAAGCCACTGTAGAAGAATTCAATGAATCATAACATTTCTTATAAACAATTTATAATTGTATGTAATTTGCTAATAGTGTATAATTTATAATAAATAATTTTAGTATATATAATATTTCATATAAATTACCATATCACTTTTGATTTTGATAAAAAATCATATTTAAAATTTTCAATTTAAAAACATAATATATATTTAAGAAGCATTTAAGAATCACTGATACCAACGTTATAAGATATTATTATAAATATTTATATTACATAGTAAATTATATAAAAAATGATGATAATTAAATATTTATTTTAATAATTTAATATTTTAAACTTTTTGCAATTAATAATATTATAAATGTTATGAAACAAATGATTAATTGCCAACATCACAACAAAAAATAAATACAGCTGCTAAGTGACAGCTGCTTAAGTTTTATTAAATCGGTTACTTGTTATGAATAAATTTTTATTTTCTATAAAAGATTTAACATAATATGGAGTAAGTAATTATTTTTATTTAAAAATTAATTATAAAAATTTTCAAAACAATATGTTTATTTTTTTTTAATATATGCAATAATAATATGACTACTAAAGTAAACATTATTATATTAATTTATTTCTTTAAATAATTTTTATATTTTTTTTATTTAAATTTATTATTTGCTTTCAATTTTATATAAACTTAAAATAGAATTGCATTATAAAAAATTTATTTTTAATACATTTTGTAGTAATTAATTGGAAAGACTATTATTATAAAAATGTTCTTTTCTCAAATTATTTATTAAATTATAATTTATTTAAATATATATTATATTAATCATTAAAATATTTAACTTTCTTGTATCTATTTTATCTAGATATCTGTTATAATATTTAAAAAAAATCCTTATCTAAACCATTGTTGGTTTCGTTAAAAAAATATACAATGTTCTCTGCATTTAAAAGATTAGCTGGAAAATCTGATGGAGTTGGTAATATATCTCCTAGACCAGCTCATCAATCTATGCCAACAACATTACAAAGAAAATTTGCTAAAGGTGTACAATATAATAGTAAGTATGTTAAACTAATTTTAAAATAAAAAAAAGTAAAATTTCTTTTATTGAAAGTATTTTATTTTTAGTGAAAATTATTATAAAGGGTGACAGAAATGTAGGAAAAACTTGTCTATTTCATAGACTTCAAGGCCAAAAATTTATAGAAGAATATATACCAACAGAGGAAATACAAGTAACCAGTATACAATGGAATTATAAAGCTACGGATGATATTGTTAAAGTTGAAGTTTGGGATGTTGTAGATAAAGGTCGACGTAGAAAGAAATTAGAAGGTTTAAAAATGGACAATTCACAGTCTGAAAATGTTATTGAGGAACCTGCTTTAGATGCAGAATTTCTTGATGTTTATAAAGGGACCAATGGTGTTATTATTATGATGGATATTACAAAATCTTGGACATTTGATTATGTTCAAAGAGAACTTCCAAAAATTCCTAGCCATATTCCAGTAATTGTTTTAGGAAATCATTGTGATATGGCACATCACAGAACTGTTACATCAGATCATGTGACATACTTTATTGATTCATTACATGAAAGAGCAGCACAAGTAAATTTGTTATTATTATTAATCATAAATAATGGGAAAAACCTTTTCTTATCAATTTTTTTTTTGACAGGTAAGATATGCAGAATCATCTATGAGAAATGGCTTTGGATTAAAACTTTTACACAAATTTTTTAATCTACCTTTTCTTCAATTGCAACGAGAAACATTATTAAAACAACTTGAAACTAATGAGGAAGAGACACGTTTGACAATACAAGAACTTGATCTTTTTCAGGATAGTGATGATGCTAATTATAATAAATTCTTAGATAATCTTGTTAATAGAAGAAGAGCACTTGCTGATTCTGTCTCTGCCAGTATCCTAGTCCCTAATGTCACATCTTCTTTAAGCAATCATAATATATTATCTTCTAATGGCAATACAAATGTAAATGCTGAAGTTAAAAGATCAATTTCTATGCCTGGTCCTATAGGAGGTGGAACTCCTATTCCAATAAAAAATATAGATTTGAAATCACTACCAAAGAAAGAAAATCTTATACATGCTTCTGAAAATCAAGTAGTTCCTATTAAAAATTCACAAACATCACCATTATCTACCACACAAAATATTTTAAAAACTGATTCCAAAATGGCTGAATTTTTAAATGAAAATTCTGACAGACGAGATTCAATTAACAAATCACAATCACTTATGTCAAAAATATTTGGTAATAAAAAGGAGGAAGAAATAGATAGAGTCACACATATTAATAATACAAATACAAATGTACCACTAACTAGTGTTGAAGATTTTATACCCGATGATGGATTATTAGATCGATCATTCTTAGAAGATACTAATCAAGTTTCACCACAAAAGATACAGCATGAGGAATTAGATTCTGAAAGGTATATTAAAGTTATAGATAATATAAAGAATTAAAAAAATATCTATAATTTAATTTACTTTTAATTTTTATATATTTTATAATAAATTTTCTATTTTTTATAGTGATACTGAAACTGCAAATCCTTTGGTTGCTGGTTACGAAGATGATTTATCATCAGCTGATGAAGCAACACCTCCCATTCAACCTAAATTGGCTGAAAATCCATTAAGTAAACAAAAACACAAACGTGAAACTTTATCAAATACAGAAATAAATTCAGAAAAATTGCGGCAAATGACAAAACGTGATTCTATTTCATCTATAGAGCAAGAATTACAGATATCAAGTAATTATGATATAAATGAACAACAAGAGATTAATTCGGATGCATTTGATAGCTGGCTTCGACGTGACTCCAAATGGAGACAGAGTCCTGAAGGTGGTGAAGATGTAAGCAGTAATAGTACGAGAAAAGACAGATTAGAATTGAGTGATAAAAGTTTAGATGTTAGTGTAACAAGTTCTAATGTACATTTAGAATTACTTGATAATACCAGTGTACGTCATATGAGTTCCGATGGCGGTAGTCCCGTGTTAAAAGAGAAAAAAAAACACAAAGAGAAGGTATGCATACAAAATATTTTTAGTATATAACTTCATTTCTTTTGATAGTAATATCATTTTGAATTAAAATAGACGGAAGACAAAGAGAAGAAGAAAAAGAAAAAATCTAAAGATAAAGAAAAGGATAAAGAAAAGACCGATAAAGCAGATAGAAAGAAGAAACGTTCATTACACCGTTCAAGAGATGAAAATAGAGAACGTGATGAGCTTGAAGAATTTCTCAATGGTTCAGTTACTAGAATTGATGTCGATGTTGCTTATGAAGCAATATAGTGTTTTTATTATGTAATATTTAATTTTATTTTTAATTAATAACGCTGTCTTTTGGTAAAGCACATAAAATATTATGTAATATTGAATTTTCAGATATGAATTTTATATTAATATTTGGAAATATCTTTTATCTATATAAAACAGAAATATCTTTTATCTATAAAGTAGAAGTCTGGAGTTCTGTTATAATTCTTTATATGATAAAATAATATAAAAAAAAATTTCTAATAAGTCATTTTTAATATTTTAAATGCTCGATAAATATACTTTACCAATACTTTAGCGTTTTGCACACATCTAACATAAATATAAACGAATATATTTTTGTAACTTGAACGTAATATGCTGGAATTTATTTGAATGTATTAAATTTTTATTAATGAAATATTTAAAAATTTGCGAATAATTTGAATTTTAATTCGAATAATATTTTTGTTTATTTAATGTCTTCTTCTGAAATGAAGAAAATTACATTAAATTAATGTAATAATTTTATTATTTACTTTTTTTTTTGTTTATTATATTTATTTCGTTAAATATTTTCTTCTAAAATGAAAAAAGTTGCATTAAATTAATGTAATTGTTTTCTATATTGTTAATATTATTAATTTTCATTTATTATTATATTATATTTATATTATAATTTTTTAATCGTATATATCACAGCGCAATAATCATCAATGCAGCTTCCTGTTAATAAATGTACATAAATAAATAAGAAATTGTTATATAAAAAAATAATTTACTTCTTACTAGATGTGATATGTGAAAATTTCAAATATATATACATATATGTACATATGTAATATTATATTTGCGCCCTCTTTTAAATTTTAAACTGAAATTTGTTAACTGAACATAAACGCCCTCTCTAAAACTTTACACCAATTCTGTTAAAACTTATCCAAACTATAATTGAACATGTGTGAATTTACCGGATACTGTCTATAATATGATACTAAGAGGTCATGCCGACAGTTGTATTTTGTATTACATTATTTCTGTAATTAAAGAATATCGAATACAAATCTGTGAAAGAAAAGATTGAAGAAAATGTCATTTTATTTACGTTCTATTCCAAATAAATTTACATCTTTTGTTAATATTCGAAGACAAATAACTGATATTAACTATCGGCTACCAAAAAATGTTAAATCTTTGTTTTTAGAAGAGGTAAATAGCTTTACTTATACAACAATATTTAATCATTTTTATTTAAATAAAAATTTTAATTATTGTCATTTAAAATTGTTTTACTTTTCATTTCACATTATTATGAAATATAAGTTAACCTTAATATACTTATGTAATAGTTTGTCATAATAATTTGATATTTTATAATTTTTCCAAGAATTTTATTATTTGATTTTGTCCTATTTTTTTTATGCTTAGTGTTTTAGAATCTTTATAAAAATTCTAATTAATAAAAATAAATAGGTGTATATTTTTATGTATATTAAAAAAATATAAACATTTATATTTTATTTATTATAATTAATTGCAAATGACAAGAATTATTGAGTTATTGTTTACACACACACATATATATATATATATATTGTTATATAAATAATTATATATATATAAGATTTATAGCATATATTTTATATATATTTTAATATTTATGATATTTAATTTATAAGAAGAAAATAATCTTTAATTATAGTTTTTAGATGCACAAACAAACTCAATAACAAATTTCAAAAAAAAGCCTTTGAATTCAATGGCTTATTTGTCAAGGCAAAATGTATTATTTTCTTCCTTTAATAATATTAAAAGTTCTAAAGCATTAAACAAGAAACATAATTGGACTAAACAACAAATAATCAAATTATATCAGAAACAAAATAAGAGTCAAATACAAAATGTAACCAATTCATATTTAACATATATGTCAGTATTAAAAACGAATACACAATGGGAAATTTCACCTGAACATTTAAAAAATAAATATAATATACCATTTAGAGAAGTGATACCAGCTAAAAGAATATTTGATAATAATGTTTTATTCAAATCTGAAAAGGATAAGATTTTTTATGCAGAAATTTCTCCCAATATAAAAAATGTAAATGAAATGCAAACTTCTGAAGATCGTAAATCATTTGAAACACAATTACAATCTGTATTTGATGTTCTTCGTAATGATGTATGTCTCTATATTGTGCACAGAAATTGCTTGGAATTATATAAAACTTGAGATTTTATTACACCAAAATGTGTTTCTTTCAGTTACCATTATTGTTCGTTCAATCAATGAATTATTCAATATATACAAAAGATTTAATATTTATTAATAATATTAAAGGAACAACAACTGTGTAAGTATATAATTAAAGTATATAAAAATTTCAAACATATATAATATGAAAAATTTTATTATTTTTAAATTAATATATGTTATTAAAAAGGAATTGTACATTTATAAATGTTTTATAGAGGTATTGAGCAATATCTTAAGCAAATAGCATTATTAAGATTAGTAGGTCATTTAAAGTTTGCTTATGTTAAGTTAAAAATTTTAAAAATGACTATGCACCCAGAAGATAATAGTATTAAAGTTCGTTGGCGTATAGTAGGTGCCTCTGGTACACGTGTATTTCTTACATTTTGGAAAATTAAAATGTTTAATGCAAGAGAACAGGTAGAAAATAAATCAGCGTAAGTATTCATTTATTAATTTTTATTAATATTGAAAAATATTTTAATAATTAGAATTCTTTTATTTATATTATGATATTAATAATTGAGATTATTAATAGGTGGTATGATGGTTTTTCTACATTTTATCTTAATAATGATGGTAAAATATTTAAACATGTTGTTGATAAAACAATGCCTGATCAAAATATAGAAGAAAAAATTAAAATGCCTGTTGAAGCAAAATTGGCATTATTTATTGCTTTATTAGATTCAAATTTTGTTCGATTTTGGTTAAAACAATATCCTGAATTTCTTCAAATAAAATAGAAAATTTATTAAAATTTTTTAAATTATTGCACTGTGTAAAAAAAAAAATAAATAAATATTGAAATTATATCTTTTAATACATTCTTTATGTAATTATTAATAACAAATTAATCTAAATATTTGCTATTTAGATTATTTACTATTCAAATTATATTTTTTTTTATATTTTCAAAAGATTAAAATAATCTAGTGTAAAAATATATTATTAATTATAAAAATATAAAGTTATATATGTCGTGTATTTAGATGTATATATAAGAATAATATTATTTATGCATTAAACATTAGTATTTTGTTGAATTGTAATTAATTTATTATTAAAAAAAGAAATATATTTTATTTCAAATATATTCAATAATATTGTAAATGTTATGTTTTTATGCATATAAATTTATAATTTATAAAATTAAATATTTATATACAATTAAATATAAATATTGTATTTGATGACATATATAATTAAATAGCAATTTATATTGTAGAAATTAAATAAAATTTAATAATATTTATTTTTCATTTTATTTTTATTTTTCACATATAAACTCTATATTTGCATAAAAATAAAATTTATTTTATTTAACTTATAAAATTTAAATTGAAATGATAATTTATTTAATTACACACGAGTCCTATAACAGAAATATATTTTTTAAAAAAAAGCAATATAATTTTAATTAATCATTAGAGTAATAAAATAAATATTTACCTAGATAATCATCCATCAATGTTCCAATAGCAAACTAAAAAATATAAAGTATATATTATATAATATAGAATATTAACATGAAAGTTTATATATTATAAATACCAACAATTCCAGTGGCATCAACTCTTGTACCAACAATTTTTAACCTTATTTCATCATCTGGTTGAATAATTACATCCTGTAATTTATAATTTTTAATTTAAATTTTTTTTATTGTATATATTTTTTTATATTTACCTCTTCTTTAGTTTTGTAACATGGTGGATTTATATTTGGACAAAACTGCATGTCTGCTGGAATCGACTACAAAAGAGTTTGTTAATTTATAAATTGAAATTATAAAAATATTATTCATATAAAAATAACTCACATGATGAGATATAAAACATGAAAGTGGTCCTATTTCAGCAAACATTCCAACCTAAAAAAAAGAAATAATATATAAGTTTTCAGATAATTTTATAAAATTTAAAAATATATTTAATATTTACTTTATTCACTTGTGTTACTATGGCATCTAATACTTCCCCTTTAAATGGTCTAAATACAATAGCCTTATATTTAACTGGATATACTACAAAACCTTGTCCTGGTTGTATGATTCCTGCACCTATATTATCTATTGTTGTTACAGCAACTACAAAACCATATCTGAAATTAGAAAATATTAAATTTAATTATTATTAAATATTTTTAAATAAATATATTGTTAATTGTGTTATGTATGTATAAACTTACTTTCCTGTACAAGTACCTTCTACTTCAGTATATAGTTTTTGTTTCACAGTATCTAATAATTGAGGTCCAAAATATCTAGGATGTAATAAAATTTCATGTTCTAATGATATCTGTAAAAATATAAAATAAATTAATTATGCATATTTAATATCTTTAACAACTTTTTATTATGAATCTAATTCAATATTTTATTATATTTATTTCATGTTATTATGTATATATTAGTATTATTAGTAATAACTTACATGATAAAACATGCCTTATTTATATAATAATGATATCAAATGATATTAATTTATAGAATTATTTATAATATATTTTTATTATGTATATTTATATTTTTCTAACGTATAAGACCTAATATCAATATTTCAGCCCGCCACCACTAGATGTCTAAAATTTTTTCTTGAATGTATGGTTTATTATGTGCATTTTTTATACTTAAAATAATGTATTAAAATTTATTAACTTATTAAAAAATAAAAATATATATACGTTATAGTATGTATATATATATATATTTAAATTAAAAATAATATAATATTGCAAGATATAAACTGGATATAATTAAAATATTACAATTTTATATATTATTTATGTATTATATAAGTATTTAATTGATGCAGAAAAAATAACTTTTTACCATACGATCGTATATCTGCCTTTGCTGTTTTTAATTAGAAAATAAAGAAAAATAAATAATTATGATTTGATAGTAATAATTCAGAGACAATATATTTTTCGAAAATAATTACGTTTTAATTCTATCATATATTATTTTTTAATGAAAAGATAATTTAAATATGATGCGTACTAGTTTCTATTGTTTAATTTATATAATTCTTTTTTTTTTTTTAGAATAGAGTAAAAGTTTTTAGCTATATTCTACTATTATATTATCGTATGAATTCGGCTTTAGGAACATTGTAAACGTATTATAAGTTTAGTTTCAATGATATTAATAAATAAAACTAAAGCGGATTTTTGAAATCAAATATAAATATAATATTGCATATTATTTATATTATTTATATTATTTGTATATTATTTAAGTATTTATCAGGTAATCAATTGAAAAAAAGTTAAAACGCATTAAAAACAAGCGTATTCCAGTTGAAGAAAATTTTTAAAATTAATTTATTATAGATCGAATCAAATTAACTATTTTCGATTAAAATTAGTTCATATTCTTGAAAATATCCAAATATTTCATAAATAGTTGTAAACTATTTTGTATCTCTATTAACGTATCGAAAAGAAATCATAAATTTTTTTAAGAATCCTATTTTTTTGATGCATTTTCCTTTCGTTCTGTACATGTCATTTCTATGCAATGATATTTTTTTTTCATATATTTCGAGAAAAGTATCGAATGGATAGAATTTGATCCATCATTGGATCAGGATGATGCAAAACAATTAGATTCTAAAAGAAAAACGGGAAGAAATATTTTGCAAAGAGAAAAATTTCGTGAAAAAATATTAATATCAAACTTGAATTGAATATATTTGAAATTGAAAATTTTTATAAATTTTTGAACATTATTAAAAAATATAAAAAATATCGAATCTTATTTTGAATATTTTCCGAATCTTTATAAATCTATAATATGTTTATTAATATTTATAATTTATATTAAATTATTGGAATTTATGGAATAATTATATATTTTATATTCTTTCTTTTTTTAATATATATTTGAAATAAATTATAATAAAATATAATAATATAATATTATATATGTCAAATATAATCATTAATAAATTTAAATATATTGAAAAAAATTAAAAGAAAAATACTATGAATGTATTGGAAAATAATATCATTTTATTAATAAAGTATTTAATGTTCAAATTAATGCAATATTAATGTGGTATGATAACTCTCAAACTTTTTTTTTCAAATCTTCGCAACTATTTTACTCAAACAATACAAGAATAAAATATAATAAAATACAATTATACATTTGCACATATTTTTTCTATTTCTATTTTATACTGTCATTATTGTTTTTTCTCGCTTTTTTAATTTTCAATTCAAAATATTTACTAATTTTCAATCCGGAAAAATCTTATACTAATATTCAATTTATGGTATTTTTTTTAAATAATAGAAAATATGATTATAAAAGATATAAAATTAATATTTATAATTATAATTAATGCACAAAATAATTTATTCTAATTTTAAATTATTTTATAAATATATTTTTTAAAAAAGCAAAAACTCTGATATAAAATATTATATTAATTTATCTAATGTTCGTATGACATTTTGTACTATTTTTTAAATTACAAGAAAATAAAATTATTGATTATCGTCATCTACAAAAGTTAATTTTTGTTTAATTTCTATAGCTAATTTATATCCAAGTTCTGGTCGGCGATCTTTTCCTTCAACCATTGCTTTTACTTGACTTGAATTTACAATTACTCCATTATTAGCTATAACAGTAGCTTTAGTTTTTTCAATATCAACAAGATCTACTCCTCGACTACAATCATCAATGAGAATAGTCCGATAACCGCTTGTAAGTGCATCTACAGCAGTAGCTCCAACACAAACATCATAGGCTAATCCGCATATATATATATCAGTTGCCCCCTTTTCTTGTAATTGCGAAGATAAACTTGTTTCCATCATCTTTTTATTATCCCAAAAGACCGAATATGAATCTACTTCTGAATTAGTTCCTTTATATATTTTAATTGCATTATCTATAATTTTCAAATCTTTGTGAAGTTCAGCACCCCAAGAATCTTGAATACAATGACGAGGCCATAAACGTTGTTTTAATAATGGTGGACCTCTAAATGTTATGGTATCATAAACTTGTGCTGTTTCTTTTGATGTTCCACTACTGGGATCAATTTCTCTGTAAAAAAATAATAAATTTATAAATTATATTATAAAAATATAATAATTAATTAAATTAAATCAAATTACCTTAGATGTAAATTATCAATAAAAGATACATGATCTATAGGATGCCAATCAAGAGAATAAAATACTGCATCAAATTGTACAGTTTCTAATAAACGATTAATTGGGTCAATTACTTCTGAACCATCATGTTGTGCAGCACATTGTTTAATATTTAAAGAACCTGTTATAAAGTCGTTTTGAACATCCACAATTAAAAATGCACTCTTTGGACGGGTGCATATTTTAATCCAACGATTCCAACATATCTACAAATTAAAAACAAAATGACTTTATTTAAAAATTATTTTATACGATTTAATAATTATTTTAATATTTATAAATATGTAAATACTTCAAATTCTTCTCTATCAATTTTTCCATCTCCATTCAAGTCAAATACTGAATATATTTCTTTTAATTGATTTTCTTCAACATTATATACTTTTCCACGATCATTGCGAAATAATGCACGACAAATAAATTCAAATTCTGTAATAGATAAATATCCATCTCCATCTTTATCAAATGCAGTAAAACATGCATCCATGTTTCTTTGGTGTAACTTTGTTGTTTCCAAGTTACTTATTTAATCAATACTTACATTAATGATATATATTATTATATATTACTTTTTAAAACTGTTGAAGCTATATCAATTAAACTGTTATTTAATTTTAATTATATTACAATATTTAACTTTAATCATATTGCAATATTTTGTTTTTGTATTTATATTTATGCATAACATTACAATATAATATCTATCAAGTATATATTAATAATATCTTATAATTTGATTTGAAAAAATATTGTATAAATGCAAAAGTTTTAATGAATTTTTAACAGATATATGGTATAATTATTAGTATATTATGGAAATAATAGATTATTGTTGAATTATAATATAGATTTTTAACAGATGATATAATTGTTATTAGATAAAAAAAACAATAGATTATTCGATTATAAATATTTATCATAGTATCATATATGATCATTAAATTTTTTTTACTTCTAATAAAATTAAATTCAAAAAAAATTTCTAAAATTTTTATTGTTGTATATATATATATATAAATTTCTTTCATTCATTTATTTGTTAAACAATATACAAATATAGAAAAACAAAAAATGAATTATTGAATTAATCTTTGATGAGTTAGTAATGATATATCAATCATTACTTCAGGTTCTAATAATTCATTTACTTTATATTTCATAGATTCTTCATAAGCATATGTAACAGATGTATCTGTAAGTTGGATATTACATTGTGCTAAAATTAAAATACAATTATGTAATCGTGCACAAACTTCACGGTTTACTTGAGGAATTCTTGATAAGTCCTGTGTGAAACCACCTTCTGATCTATCAGTATCTTGTCTACTAGCTCCAATCCATATATAACCATTATTTCCTAATATTAAACTTGCACCATTTTCTAAAGTGTGAAAATGTGTCTTTTTCCGTTTTATAAGAGCTGGTGAAACTTTTAACATTATACCTTGAGATAATTTACCATATTTTAAAACTCTAGTATGTAATGAAAGAGAACCATCTACAAAAGTACTTTGTACTTCTGCACAAATTAAATCTCCTTCTTGAAGATAACGTCTCATAGTTTGTTCATCTTCAGCTGATCTTCTTCTCTATAAATTACATGCCAAAAATATTTTTAATAATTAAAAGTGTATTTATTTTTAAAAAAATTTTTTTTAAAAATGAAATTTAATATTTGTATCATACCAATTCTCCACCTGGTAAATTAACACTGGAGAGTAATAATACAGAGTCAAGTTTAGAATTTGTGTCAACTTTCCATCGTTTTTGTTGTACTTCAGTTATACGTCCAACAACTACATCTCCAATTTCACCTTGATAACGTGCTTTTAAAGGTTTTATCGAAATAAGCTTATTTACTTTTTCTAAAATACCAGCTACAGATGCACGTAATGTATTTTCGTCATCTACATATGTTCCATGTCCTCTAATAATAAAAATAAAAAAAAATTAAAAATTTTTTTTAAATT